TTTTCTTAATAAACTTTGTTATGCCAGTTGACCTAGATGTCCCCTGAAATCATGGTCCCCACGCCCCTGCCCCTGCTACTCTGTCCCTCAAAGTGTTTGGTTATATTCAGGAAATGAGAAATTGGTTTTGTGGAGGAAAGATAGATAGTGTTTGCTATCTTTTGATGATGCTAAAATTTTCCAACCTGTAGGTAATTAGGACAAAATGGTGCTCAGACTCAGGTTTGACTTACAGCATCACCCCATCAGGTGTCCTCAGAGGCGGGTTACATTATTGAAGTCCCCATTACTAAATAAAGATGCTTCAGATGCTTAGTGCAAAGATGAAGGTCCTGGGCAGTCAAGCTCAATTTAGCCTATCCTCTGTATTTTAGGACCAAGACAAACCAGGCTAAAGGAAAGAAAATGTTTGGAAAACTTGGGAAACTGGACATAATGTTGTGCTAAATAAACTGTTTTGAAAATGTGAGACTATATTTTCTAATTTACAGGCACCAAAGATGACACAAAGAAATGTAGTCTCAGAAAAAAAATTTCTGACTACATGGATAGAGCAGAAAACATAAAGAAATACTTGGATCAAGAAAAAGAAGGTAAAGAGGATGTTTTAGAAAACGAGCTGTGATGAGCCCCATTTGCCCAGTGGTTCTGGTTCCTGCCCTTGGGAGCACTTTGCAGTCGGGACCATTTGTCCATGCTTACAGATTTCTGCTCCCAAGTACAGGAGAGATTCTTAACCTTTTTTTTCCCCCTGTTGGAGAAGAGTGGTGTCAGAGACCCCTTTGACCCTTTAAAACTTTGCCTGCAGCTTTAAGGAGTTTACAAATCCCTGTGAAGCTGGTGTATAGACCCAGTTTAAGAACTACTACAAAGGAATAGACCAAAGCAAACCAAACTCATTGCCCTCAAGTCGATTCCGATTCATAGTGACCCTAGAGGACAGAGTAGAACTGCCCCATAGGGTTTCCAAGGAGCGGCTGGTGGATTTGAACTGCCAACCTTTTGGTTAGCAGCCGAGGTCTTAACCATTCCACCACCAGGGCTCCACTACAGGGGAATACTGAATGTAAATCCTGAATTTTATTTGTCTTTCCCTTTATGAAATGATCAAAATCACTAAAGAAATGCTTGGGACTTCTTTTGGATTTTGTTGTGAATCAAAAGATTTTAGGAGTTAATTGTTCCTAATGATTAGAAGTGAAGTAGGTATTGTTCCCTACTAATTATTAGTTCTGTACTTATGAACATCCAGTTTACAAACTTATATAAAAATGGTCATTGCCATCCTTACCTGAAGTGCACACTACTGCTGCTTTCTGTGGCCAAAGGTACTACCGCCCTCCAAAACCAGTGCCTCGTCACTTAGCTGATCTTCCTTTCTACCCTTACTACAATTCTCTCCCCAGCTCTTCCTAGTATTCTCTGCCAACCCACACCCTGGGTAACCCTGCTAAGCTCCTCTGTTGAGTGGAAATAAAATTGTGTTTCCTTCATCCCAAGTTGAAATCAAGAGTGAAATTTCCCTCCAGTGCATTGATGGAATAGGTGGATAGGTTTTATAGCGCCATCAGCATTGTGGCTTGAATATATTGAGTTAGATTAACATTGGCTTGAAAATTGATGTACAGTTTCTAACATTGTATCTGTGGGAATATTTGGAACAGATTCCAAACTACTGATTTTTAAACAAAGTTTAAAGTACAACCACCATATAAACTAGGAACTACCAGTAGGGGTCATATTTTTAAAAAGCCTTAAAAGTCTCTGGTAACTTACTGAATAATTATTAATTTTGAATTAACAAAACCAATGGAACTATCCTGTTGAGCCTGTGACATCCTAGTCTTTAGACTGGGTTCTTAAACCCTCTCTACAAGTTCTAAGAAAGACTTCTAAGATGCCATACTATACTACATTTATGTTTAATGGAGCCCTGGTGGTGCAGTGGTTAAGAGCTCGGCTGCTAACCAAAAGCTTGGCAGTTTAAATCCACCAGCAGGTTTCCTTGGAAACCCTATGAGGCAGTACTAGTCTGTCCCATAGTGTCGCCATGAGTCAGAATTGACGGCAATAGGTTTTACGTTTAATACTCATTTTAGCCATTAAGGAGCCCTGGTGGTGCAGTGGTTAAGAGCTTGGTGGCTAACCAAAAGGTTGGCAGTTTGAATCCATCAGCCACTCCTTGGGAACCCTATGGGGCAGTTCTGCTCTGCCTATAGGGTCGCTATGAGTTGGAGTCAACTTGATGGCAACAGGTTTGGTTTGGATTTTTAGCTATTAAATGGCAAGACATAAAAAAAGACTCAAGTCTGAAGAGAAGGACCAGATAGCCACCGAGTTACGGCTGTGGTTCTACCCATGGTGACAGGAAGTTGTCAGACCGTTTATATCCAGTCCTCCTTTGAATAAACTGTCTGGTTAGGAGCGTCCAGCTCAAGACCTGTTCCACAAATCTCTAGACTTTCCCCCTTGCCCACCCTTCATGAGGGCAGACACCATGTTTGCCTTATTGATCTGTGTAGCTAGCATCTTACAGAGTGCCTCATATATAGTAGAGTTTCAGTAAATATTTGCCATGTGAACGAGTTTAAAAAATTAACTTGTGTCTGATCCTGATTAATCACTATATATGAAATACAACATGATAAAAAGAGAACTAGTGGTTGCTCATTTTATGATTGAAGCTTGTGTTTCGTAGATGGAAAATATCACAAGCAAATTAAAATAGAAGAGAATGCAACAGGTTTCAGCTATGAGTCACTTTTTCAAGAATACCTAAATGAGACAGTTACAGAAGTTTGGATAGAAGATCCTTATATTAGACACACTCATCAGGTAAGTGAAATGGACAAAATGTAATAAATAAAACAACAGAATAAATAATGGAATCGAATGTAATGAAGTATTATATATCATAGAAAATGTACTAGTTACTAATAACCTATCCTAATGTCTTTCAGCTGTATAATTTTCTTCGATTTTGTGAGATGCTTGTCAAAAACCCATGTAAAGTAAAAATTATTCATCTTCTCACATCTCTGGATGAAGTAGGTATCTGAAAGCATTTCCTCTTTCTTAACTATGTAAACCTTACTCAGTTACAAGGTGTAGTCCGTCAAGGACAACCTGGACGTAGTGTTTCAGCTAGATCTGTTTCCTTGGGAGTTAACTTGTTATTCAACAAGAGGCATAAATCATCTTGAGAAAAACGTTACTCACTTGAGGATGTTGACCTTGTATTTGGCCGCCTGCTAAACTCTCTTGTTTGTTCAAATGGTTTGTCAAGTTTGTTTTCTTGGATTTCTAGGAGGCAGTCACATTGGCTGCAATATTGACAGTTCTGTTTCTTCTTTACCAATTATTATTTTTTTTATTGCATTGGCCTTCTGGGGCATAGTAGTGTGATAGTGGGCACCTCTGCCTTGATTGACTTCATAGGAATGCTTCTAAATAATTCTGATTTCTTGGATTAATTTGAGAAGGCAGCCCCATCTGAATGACTAAACGTCATTACTAAAATAGACTTCAGTATGCAGTGGTGTGATGTTCATGTTAGAAAAAAACAATTATTTTGATAAAAACAACTGCTGTTTAAACTACTTCACATTCCTTGGTTGCTTGTTTGAGACAGTAAAAATTAAAACTAGTATAGAACCTTTCCATCTTAGTTCACCTGTGATACAGATTGCATAGCTTAGGGGTAATTTTAAATATTAATAACTGAGGTAGAAAATTATATTTTTGTTATTAATAGGGCAGTGGAAAAGAGCAGCAAAGTAATGGCCTGCAAGAAATAAAAGAATCACTCCGGAGTCACGGTGTGCTGTTGGAGTTAGAATACTCTTCTTCAATACACGACCGGGAAATTCGGTTAGTGTTCAGAAATATTTTCATTTTTATGCCATTGAAGTACAGTTATTTTTATGTCTCCTAATAAGTTAGGCTTTAAATAATTGCATATAAGTATTCAACTTAAATATTTAAAAATCAAATAAAGTTCAATTTTAGTGTATTTTTACTTTTGAGAAGAAAACAAATATTTGGTTTACTTTATCCGGTGTGTTAGTTTAATATTTCCTAAAGGAGGCCTGGTGGCGCAGTGGTGAAGCACTCAGCTGCGAACCAAAAGGTGACGGTTCAAACTCAACCTTTCTTTGGGAGGAAGATGTGGCAGTATGCTTTTGTAAAGATTTACAGTTTTAGAAACCCTATGGGGCAGTTCTCCTCTGTCCTGTGGGGTCACTCTGAGTCGGAATCGACTTGACGGCAGTGGGCGTGGTTTTTTAAATGGAATAGAATTTACAGTACATGTTCCACGTCACATAGGAAGAGGAAATACTCGTCTGTCTGTTCAACTACGTGTATAGTGTTGCGGTATTGGGATCATTTTCTTTTCTAGTAAAATTAATATTTACTTAATGTTGTTTCACTTCTTCGGGTTTATTAAGTATTCTGGTAGGCATGCCAGTGTGCTGTGTCTGTAAGGAAGCAGTATATGCAGTTATTTTAGTGAGAAGTTCTCTTCCGTTGAGTACGCTGGCTTTCAAATGTTTATAGCAACGGCATCCTCGGTTTTAAGGAAAACTTACGCACAACCTAAGTATGCAAAACAGATGAAAATGCAGCTGCTATGATTAGATCCCTGGTGGCGCAGTGGTTAAGAGCTACAGCTGCTAACCAAAAGGTTGGCAGTTCGAATCCACCAGCAGCTGCTTAGAAACCCTATGGGGCAGTTCTACTCTATCCTGAAGGGTCGCTATGAGTCGGAATCGACTCGACCGCAGCGTGTTTGGTTTTGGGTGTGATTGAAGCAGAGGTCTCGATCCAGAGCCCTTCCTGCTCATGTTCCGCATCCCGAGGTCGATGAACCCCTGACACCCCACCAGTCGGCCTGAGTATACTTAGAAACCTCTTGTTAGCAGAGCAGGAAATTTTTATCAACAGGCTGAAATTCAAGAGTAAGCTTTAATTTGATTGTTAAACTCTTTATCAGCTAATCAAAGCAACTGATGGTTTTCATGGACATTTTGTTTCATTGCAGACACAGCCCGTGACTAATCCAGGTTTGATTCCACTCCTACCCCTGAAGAAGTGGCTTTCTTTGTTAGGGGGAAGTTTTGCTGACACCTAATACACTACAGCTTTGATATTTGCCTGACTTGAATATCTTTAACATAATACTGTATACTAATTTCAATAGGTTCAACAATGGATGGATGATTAAGATTGGAAGGGGACTTGATTATTTTAAGAAACCACAGGTAGGATATAATTTTATCAGTGAGTGTAGCACAGTTTTTGTATCATTTTTAAACAATACTCTTTTCTTCTCTTTTTAGAGTCGTTTTTCCCTTGGATATTGTGATTTTGATTTAAGACCGTGTCATGAAACAACAGTGGACATTTTTCATAACAAGCACACAAAAAAAATATAATACGCAGTGGCCTAATTCACATCATGTATTTCTATTTTAAGTGAATATTGTTTTTTTTTTTTACTTTGTACAGATCATTTCTATAATGTATGAGTTTATCAGTAAACTTAAATTTCTACTACTTTATGGATTCATGGTTCAGTTTTGTGAACATTTCTAAATATTTTTGTAAATACATTACTCAGTAGATTTATAAAGCTTCTTTTCAAGTCATACAGTTAAAACATTTTACCAGCTTTTATTTTGGCTATTGGAGAGTGCAGCAACAAATAATGAGCATCTAGTATGAAGCTGAAGGAGCCCTGGTGGCACAACGGTCAAGCACTCGGCTGCTAACTAAAAGGTTGGCGGTTTGATCCCACTCAGCGGCTCCACGGGAGAAAAACCTGGCAATCTGCTCGCATAAAGATTATAGCCTATTAAACCCTGTGGCGCAGTGGGGTCACTCTGACTTGAAAAACAACAGCACCCGACAACAGCAACAAGTTGTGAAGGACCCTGGATGGTGCAAATGGTCTGTGCTCAACTGCTAACCTAAAGGTTGGCAGTTTGAACCCACTCAGCAGTACTGTAGGAAAAAGGCTTGGCAGTCTGCTTCCTGTTAACATTACAGCCAGGAAGACCCTGTGGAGCAGTTCTACTCGGTAACATATGAGTCACCATGAGTCGGAATTGACTCAGCAGAAACTAACGACAGCAGTGTGGAGTGTTGATCTTGCCTCTTGAGTGCAGGAGGGAAAATCATCATGGATTAGAGTGCTCGTTAGAGACAGATGGGCTTGGGGCTCTAATGACCAGAAAAGAGTACGATGTTAACTTTATCATAATGAAGATCATTGCCCTTGGCAGAACTTCACCAGGGGTATTGTGCTGCTCATTCGCCTTGGCTGCACATTTGTTAAGCCTTTCAGCTTAGAGTCAAGCTGACATGGGTAAGCTCATCTATCCAGATGCCAGTTAAGTTGTTGGGGACAAAGACTTGGTTCCATGGAGAAGTGGGGACAAGCATAGAACTGTGGAGCACAGAAAAATAATCAGTATCTACATCAATCACTGACATGTAATAATCAAAGAACAAGTGATGTGTTACCTCTCAAGGTTGCAATTTACTATAAATTAGCATTCCTTAGTGCTGATTCCCATGAAAGTCTTCCCCTTGCACACTTTTGCCCCCCAAGCACATATCATTCGGCCCCAGCCCCCACTTAAGTTGCAGCGAGAAGGGTTTTCACCGTCCCAGATTCTCTCCATCAGTATCTTCCAGTTCAAAGTCTGGTGCAGCAGGTGCATCTGACTGGCAAAGCCCAGGTCCTGTGCCCACACCCTAACTTCAGGGGAGGCCAGGGAAAGACAGGAGTGGGCTCCATCTCCCACCAAGACAGGGAATTCCTCAAACATCAGAGGACATGGATGCTAAAAAATCTAAATCATAAAAGTCCACAATGAAGCCATTCTCATGACATAAAATACTATTTATAGACTGTCAACTCCCAAACTTACAAATTAAGCCAAGGCTTCTCCTTGGAGTTCCAGTCACATATATTCAACTTCCTGTGTGACATTCCCTCTGGCATCTCAGAAGCACACAACTATTTCAAATACAATATGCCTCCAATTAAACTTTCTTGAACAATGCAGGAAGCATCAAAGAAGATGAAAGGAATACACGGTAACTGTACCAGAAAGAATTGGCCGACATTCAACCATTTCAGGAGGTAGCATATGATCAGGAACCGATGGTACTGAAGGAAGAAGTCCAAGCTGCACTGAAGACACGTGAAAAACAAGGTTCCAGGAATTGACAATACCAGTTAAGATGTTTCAACAAATGGATGCGGCGCTGGAAGTGCTCACTTGTCTATGCCAAGATATTTGGAACACAGCTACCCGGCCAACCGACTGGAAGAGATCCCCATTTGTACCCATTCCAAAGAAAGGTGATCCATCAGAATGCGGAAATTATCAAACAGTGTCATTAATATCACACGTAACATTTTGCTGAAGAGCATTCAAAAGCAGTTGCAGCAGCACATCAACAGAGAACTGCCAGAAATTCAAGCCCGATTCAGAAGAGGACGTGGAATGAGGGATATCACTGCTGATGTCAGATGGATCCTGGCTGAAAGCAGAAAATACCAGAAAGATGTTTACCAGTGTTTTATTGACTACACAAAGGCATTCAATTGTGTGAATCATCACAAATTGTGGATAACATTGCAAAGAATGGGAATTTCAGAATACTTAATTGTGTTCATGAGGAACCTGTACATAGACCAAGAGGCAGTCATTCCAACAGAACAAGGGGATGCTGCGTGGTTTAAAGTAAAAAAAGGTGTGCGTCAGGGTTGTATCCTTTCACCATACTTATTCAATCTGTATGCTGAGCAAATAATCCGAGAAGCTGGACTATAAGAAAAAGAACATGGCATCAGGTCTGGAGGAAGACTCATTTAACAACCTACGATATGCAGCTGACACAACCTTGCTTGCTGAAAGTGAAGAGGACTTGAAGCACTTACTGATGAAGATCAAAGATCACAGCCTTCAGTATGGATTACACCTCAACATAAAGACGACAAAAAATCCTCAACTGGACCAGTAAGCAACATCATGATAAACGGAGAAAATATTGAAGTTGTCAAGGATTTCATTTTACTTGGATCCACAATCAACACCTATGGAAGCAGCAGTCAAGAAATCAAGTGATGCATTGCATTGGGCAAATATACTGCAAAAGACCTCTTTAAAGTGTTAAAAACGAAAGATGTTACTTTGAGGACTGAGATGCGACTGACCCAAGCCATGGTATTTTTAGTCGCCTCCTATGCATGTGAAAGCTGGGCAATGAATAAGGAAGACCAAAGAAGAACTGATGCCTTTGAATTATGGTGTTGGCAAAGAATATTAAATATACTGTGGACTGCCAGAAGAATAAACAGATCTGTCTTGGAAGAAGTACAGTCAGAATGCTAATTAGAAGCAAGGATGGCGAGACTTTGTCTCACTTACTTTGGACATGTTATCAGGAGGGACCAGTCACTTGGTAAAGTAGAGGGTCAGCGAAAAAGAGGAAGACCCTCAATGAGATGGATTGACACAGTGGCTGCAACAACGGGCTCAAGCATAACAATGACTGTGAGAATGGCGCAGGACCAGGCAGTGTTTCATTCTGTTATACGTAGGGTCGCTATGAGTCGGAACTGACTCGACAGCACCTAACAACAACAAACTTTTGATATACACTTCCCCATCTCCCGTGTTTACCCCCATCCATCCAGTTGCTCAAATAAGAAATCTAGGAGTCATTCTTGATCCCTTGCTCTCCCTCATCTCCGTATGCAAACGCTCAAATAGTTTTGTGGAGTCTACCTGCAAAACTTACTTGAATCCATCTGTTCCAGGTGACACGTGATCAGATTTCTCTTTGGCACTTGAAGTCCTTAACACCCTTCACCGGATGACATGCTCGCTCGAGAAACAAATAGTGTTAGCAAATCATGACTCTGCTTTTTTGCACTGAAGCACACTACAACAGGATCTTTATACCTTTCTCAGAAAATAATTTTCACATATTACAACAAATGGTAATGGTCAAAAACATGCCTATGACAAATATATAGAGCCAGGGGCAGATTATCCAATAGGCAAGGTAAGCACGGTGCTTACCTTGCTTATTAGATCATATGTAGTGCACAATTCCACATTTTTTCACTGCATCAAAGACTCTGCTTCTAGGTTTGGCTGGTGTCATGGATTGAATTGTATCCCCCCAAAATATCTGTCAACTTGGCTAGATCATGATTCCCAGTATTGTATGATTGTCTACCATTTTGTCATCTGATGTGATTTCCCTATGCGTTGTAAATCCTGTCACTATGATATAATAAGATGGATTAGCGGCAGTTATATTCATGAGCTCTTCAAGATTAGATAGTGTCTTAAGCTAATCTCTTTTGAGATATAAAAAAAGAAGCAAGCAGAGAGACAGGGAGACTTCATACCACCAAGAAAGCAGCGTCAGGAGCACAGCATGTCCTTTGGACCCAGGGTTCCTGTGCCAAGAAGCTCCTAGACCAGGGGAAGACTGATGACAAGGACCTTCCTCCAGCGCTGACAGAGAAAGCCTTCCCCTGGAGTAGATGCCTTGCTTCGGACTTGTAGCCTGCTAGACTATGAGAGAATAAATTTCTCTTTGTTAAAACCATCCACTTGTGGTATTTCTGTTACAGCAGCACTAGATGACTAAGACAGGCTGGCATCTGTCTGTCTCCCAACCTACAACTGCTTCCTACAGAATCAAAGCTTCTTTTCAAATTTACAATCCCTGATGGGCGCATGACCCAGTAAGCAAGGTAAATACTGACTTATGCTTACTTGCTAATCTGTAGTGAAATTGTTCAGTACGGATGATCTGGTAAGCAAGGTAAGCACTGTGCTTACCTTGCCTATTGGATAATCCACCCTTGATACAGACTAAAGTTTATTAGTGGTTACCAGAGGCGAGAGAGGGAGAGGAGGACAGGGGCAGATTATCCAGTAAGCACAAGGTAAACATGGGCTTACTTGTGCATATTTGCTAATCTGTAGCCAACAATTTAACAGTGTGAAACCCATGTGAAATTTTCACTACTGGTAAGTAAGTACAAGTAAGCCTGTGCTTACCTGTGCTTACTGGGTCATCCGTTCCTGTCGGATTATAAATTTGAAAAGAGACTTTAATTCTATAGAAAGGTGTTGTGGAGTTGGGAGAGAGCTAGATGCCAGCCATACCTAGAAGGAGAATCTTTAATGTGAAGAAATGTGAAATTGTTCACTACAGATTAGTAAGTAAGCACAAGTAAGCCTGTGCTTACCTTGCTTATTGGATAATATGCCCCTGAGGAGTCAACTGTTTAGGAGGCTCTCTGTTTGTGGTGATGGAAAATGTGGCATCAGATATTGGTGCTGGTCGCACAAACAAGGTTAATGTAATCCACATCACTAAATTGTACAGGTGAAAAAGGTTAAATTGGCAAATGTGTTAAAATGCCTGTGAGAAATCTCTTCAAAATTGTGGTGACTTGCTATTTAATATTGCTGCTAAAGAACAAAGGGACTTGCCCATGAAATCTGCCTCAGATGAAGAACAGCTAAGCTGCCACTTGTTTGTCCCAGGAGCAATTTGAAAAGGAAAATCGCCTTCACTCACACCCACTTTAAGACAACCAGTTGCAGACAAAACCTTGCGAGTCCCCTCCTGCTCCTCCTGTTCAAAGGGTGCTGTCTGGATCCACTCAGATATATGAAAACAACTCATAAGGAGGGGACTGACATCAATGTGGTAACATCCAAATACTGTGTATTTGGTACTTTTAACAAGGACTATGTTGTTAAAGTGCTCTGTTTGCATGTATGTTGTTTCAGTTAAAGAAGTCTCTAGATCTCTCAGGGTCCTGACACTCCTGCCTCAGTTTCCTTGTTAAAAATGCTAAAACTAAGCCTTGCTCCCTGTCATGGATTGAATTGTGTCCCCCCAAAACATGTGTCAACTTGGCTAGGCCATGGTTCCCAGTATTGTGTGGTTGTCCGACATTTTGTGATCTGACAGGATTATCCTACGTGTTGTAAATCCTAACCTCTATGATGTTAATGAGGCAGGATTAGAGGCAGTTATGTTAATGAGGCAGGACTCAATCTACAGGATTAGGTTGTGTCTTGAATCAATCTCTTTTGAAACATAAAAGAAGTGAGCAGAGAGGAGAGGGACCTCTTTCTATCAAGAAAGAAGAGCTGGGAGCAAAGTGCATCCTTTGGACTCGTCCCTGCGCTGAGAAGCTCCTAATCCAGGGGAAGATTGATGATAAGGACCTTCCCTGAGAGGCAACAGAGAAAGCCTTCCCATGGAGCCGGCACCCTGAATTCGGACTTCCAGCCTCCTAAACTGTGAGAGAATAAATTTCTGTTTGTTAAAGCCATCCACTTGTGGTATTTATTATAGCAGCACTAGATAATGAAGACATCCCCAAAACGGGAGTCATCCCTAATTTTTCACAAGTGCCTAACACTCTGTCCATTTCTTCCCAAGGCCGCTGCCAGTACCACCTCGTCTGACCACCGCAGTGACTGCTACCTGTCTTGCCTCACTCCAGTCCATTTCCACAGAGCCCCCAGAATCATCTTTTTAAACTGTCCTCTCATTGCACTTAAAATAAAACCCAGCTCTACTGTGGCCTATCAGTCTCTCCATGATCTGGTGTCTGCTTACCCAACTTAGCTTTGCCCCATTCTCCACCTTGTTCCCACACTTGATTTTGCCTATACTTCCTTCAATACCATAAATAAGCCTAGTTTTGTTCTGCCTTAAGGCCTTCTTATGTTCTCTCAACTTGTGTGGCAGACTGGACTTTCCAAAAATAGCTGCAATAAGATCTTCCATCCCAGAGGTGTGGGATGTGTTATAAGGTGACTTTGACATTCCTCTTATTAGGAGGTGGGTGGGTGGGGGATCTCTGTTCCCTTCCTTTGAATTTGGATGCATTTATTACAGCAAAAGTAACGCTATGTTCCTTGAAGCTAAGTCATCAAAGGCAATATAGCGTCTGCCTGGCTTTCTTGGGTCACTTGCTCTTAGACTCATGGCAACCTCAGGTATGACAGAACTAAACGTCTGTCCCCTAAAACCCATTGCCGTTGAGTCAATTATGACTCATAGCGACCCTATAGGACAGAGTAGACTTGCCCCACAGGGTTTCCAAGGAGCGGCTGGTGGATTCAAACCAACCTTTTGATTGGCAGCTAAGCTCTTAACCACTGCACCTCCAGGGCTCCGTATATCCCTTGTTGTTGATGTCATTAGGTGCCATTGAGTCAGTTCTGACTCATAGTGACCATATAGGACAGAGTAGAACTGCCCCATAGGGTTTCCAAGGAGCAGCTGGTAAATTTGAACTGTCGAACTTTTGGTTAACAGCCGAGCTCTTAACCACTATGCCACCAGGGCTCCTTAGAGGTAAGGAAAACAAGGAATTGCAAAGTCAGAGTGTCCAATATAGTATACACCCCCAAGATGGTAACAAGAGGAAGGAGATGAAGATACAAATATGTGCCACATGTTAAGATCAATGAAGAAAGAGTATTCTAGAAATCAGGAGAAAATATAAGCATGTGTGACAGACAATTTCAAGTGGGGAGAAGTTACTGAAAGATGCTAAGACTTTTTTTTAAGAGACATGCAGTGTACATTTAAAATTTTTATTTTCTCATCTAAACCATCAATATTAAGACATTTACGTTGAATCACATTATTCCCTTCATTTTTTCACAGAGAATATTCCATTTACAATATAGTTCATGGTCTCCTGGACATGTTCTAAGTAATATATTCGTTAGCGTGGTAGTTTCGATTGGGCAAAACTTACTGTCAATATAACTTGAGTTTAATTTGTCACATACTTCCAGCGGCAACCAATGATGAGGTGCTTCGATATTACAGACCTGGATTCTTCCATTCTTTATGTCTATGTGCACTTTAATTTCCAAGTGTGACTGTCCATCTAAGACGTTAAAGGAAGTATTGATACTGAACTTTGGAGTTTTGCCATAAATCCACTCCCAAGCTTGTAGTTCTCTGGCTTTGCTGTTTATTCCAGGAAACAGTGTCTCATCTGCTGGGTTTATTAGGTTAATGTGATTATCAATCCCATGATAAGCAGCATACTCTGCGGCAATAGCATTCATCAGTACTTCACAGGTCAGAGTGGGATCTTTTTCCAAAAGGTTTTTAACTAAGGAAGGTATGCTAGCAGTGGCATTACTCCTGATTCCTTGGTAAGGACTCTTCAGCAAAGAGGACAAGAAGGTCCCATCGGTACTACATAATAAAGTGCAATGGTGATAAGCAGTAGTCCGGCCAATCTTAGAAGCGGTTCCTGAGATTTTAAACTGTCCATCGAGTAAAAGGTCAAATCTTTTGGTAGGCTGCACATCCAGCTGGGGTTGGACAGCCTTCAAAGCTCGCACAATTAATTTCAGGTTTTTCATCCTATCGTACTTGCTCTTAGTCGTAAAGAAAGTCAAATTGATATTACCCATATCGTGGTAGACTGTCCCTCCCCCACTTCTTCTTCTAGCCAGTTTTATACCTTCTTCTCTCATCAGATTCAGGTTACATTCTTGCCAAGGATTCTGATGCCTACCAATTACAACAGACGGAGAATTTCTCCAAAGGAAAAGAATCGGGTTGCCTTCTAGATTCATATGGTCATGGATCCAGTCTTCTACAGCCAGATTTTGGTAAACGTCATTGGAAATGGACTGTAAAATGAGTCCATTTTTTACTGTGTCCTTTAAGCCAGCTGCTGGGACCTGACGGTTACAAAGGAACTGGAAGCAATTCTTTATTGAAAATGGGATCAGCATGCTGTTAAAAGTGGAAGATAAATTAATTGATTAAAACGGAAGGTTAAATTTTCTAGCCATCAATTCTTGGTTATTTCATCCAAACATATCTAACTCTTTAAGTAACCAATCTAGTTGCTTTTCTTACCTTACAGCCCTACCACTAGTCTTTAGCAACCCTCCAGCAGAGAACTCAGAGGAGACAAATGATGACAAACCTCAAATACTTTGTTCAAATGGAATAAGGGCACAGATTTTTCAAACAATGATTGTGCTGCAAATGCATTACATAATATTATCCTGAAGCCAAAACAAATTCACAAATAATATATGTTTATTGAGAAAAATGAGATAAGCAAAAAGAAGAAAGCCCAATAATCTACAATCCCAGTACCTGGTGACAAGCAGAGTCAACATTTTGGTGTGTACACACACACACACACACACACACACACACTTTGGTGTGTCCACACACACACACACACTTCCCACCAAAAGTAGGTCCATACTATTACTTGACTCAACACGAACTATATGTATACGTCATCTTTAATTGTCGTGTAATATTCCACTGTCAGATGCACCATAATTTACTCAGTGGTTTAGTTTCTAGTTTTAGATCGTTTGTAGTTCTTCCGTGTTATCACTCACGTACTGATGAATATCGCCGGGGCCAGCTTTCAGTATTACCTTGTAATACTTGTTTGGAGTCACTGGGTGGTGCAACCAGTCTAGTGCCCAACTACTAGCTGAAAGGCTGGTGGCTGGAACCAGGGTTGGATCACCCAAGAAGCAAGGGACACACAGGCTTACTTGTGTTGACTAACGCGCAGTGAACAATTTCACGTGTTTCTATGCGGTAAAACCCACGTGAAATTGTTCACTACAGATTAGTAAGTAAACACAAGTAAGCCCTGTGTACCATTCTTACTGGTTAATCTGACCCTGGTTTGAACCCACCCAGAGACGCCTAGGAAGACAAGCCTGGGGATCTGCTTCCCAAAGGTCAGTCTTGAAACCCCTATGGAGCAGTTCTACTCTGCACACGTGGGGTCACCATGAGTTGGAACTGACTCCCCGGCAACTAATAACAACAAATACTCTTTTAAAAATCCCTATTTGACTTTGGGATATATGATTTATTGGAAGCATACCTGTTTCATTTAGATCACCATTAAATTAGGATGGTGCTCCTGAGATCAGGAAGTGAGGTGTCAGAATATGGAGGGTTATATGGAGAAGCTATAAACAAATTTATTACATGTGGACACTTCGCATAATTCTTGTTAGCAGTGCTGTGAAATATTAGGTGGCAAAGGGTTGAAAATACTAGATACAATAATGAGAGATTCTGACTAGCTTTGGTCTTTTAATAAACCTTTCTATTCCAATTCCGTTTCTCAGAATGTTCAGTTTTCTTTTCAGTTGAAGAATTGGGATAGAATGAGTTACCGAAGTCCATAACTAGCCCAAATTCTTAATTTCTTACAAGTACAATCGCTAGGTTAAAGAGTCTTCACGTCTTCATCACGCTTTATGTACTTAGATAAATTGTTCTACAAAAAGGTTGAGCCAACTCACTCTTCTTCTGTCTAGAAAGCTCAGGAAAGGTTTACTAGAGGAAGGGATACTTGAACTAAGTCTTGAAATCTGATGGTACTTACCAGGTGGATGTGGGGCGCAAATTCCAGGTGTTGTGGATTTAGCTGTGCCCCCCAAAATGTGGGTCAATTTGGCTGGGCCATGATTCCCAGTATTGTGTGATTGTCCACCACTTTGTCATCTGATGTGCTTTTCCTATGTGTTGTAAACCCTAACCTCTTTGATGTTAATGAGGCCAGACTCAAACTACAGGATTAGGTTGTGTCTTGAGTCAATCTCTTTTGAGATATAAAAGAGAAGCGAGCAGAGAGACAGGGTGACTTCATTACCACCCAGAATGAAGAACCAGGAGGGGAGCACATCCTTTGGATCCAGAGTCCCTGTGCTGAGAAACTTGTGAATACATCAACTAATAAATGATAAGTCTCCTTGACGACTACAGAGTCAGAACAAAATGAGTGAGTTAAGTGACTGCCATGTATGATGGGACGGCCCCAAGGAAACCAGCACAACTCTGGGCCCTGGGGAGCTCCTATCCTTAATGCCAGGGTACGTTCTCCCTCCTGGAGATTGAGATTCATCTAGGAAATGTGCACCTTTTATTCCATGCTTCAGCAGTAACTCCCATGTCTTAACTTTAGTTGTCAGAATAAAATTAAGTTTTGAAGGCCTGGTAAAATTTTGTTTCTTCTAAGTAACTTTACATAACTCAGCTTTGAGAAAAAATTATAAAGTTAGTAATTAACGAATCAAAGGACAATCTTACTTCCATGTTCTTGGAAACACTTTGCTACTACCAATTTGCACTGCAATTCTTCTGCATCACAGACTAAAACCAAAAACTGCGTTGCCATCTAGTCGATTCCGATTCATAGCGACCCTATAGGACAGACTAGAACTGCCCCATAGTTTCCAAGGAGCCGCTGGCGGATTCCAACTGCCCACCTTTTGGCTACCAGCCGAGCTCTTAGAAAGCAAAATATATCAACAGTCCCGTATGTGTTTCTAGGCAGGTCCAGCTCCTTAAAACTTTGCCAGGACTCTATTTTGCGACCTCCTGTGAGTCGCAATAGACTCGGCTGCAACGCGTTTGGTTTTTTTGGTTTTGTACAATACGTAACCCAGAATCCCATGACGATTATTGGTGTGAATGTTCTATTTCCCTTTCTTGGCATCCAATGTTTCACGTTTTTACTCTCCTGTGTTCGGGTTAAACCGTTCCCCTGCGCTAAGCGTAAACCGCGCGCATTCAGCACCCAGCCCGGCGGCGCGCACGTGGGCTTCCCGCCTCAAGGTCCAAGTCTCGGCTCGCCGCCCGGACTCCTAACCGGGTTAGCAGCGCAGACCGCACCAGCGGCAGCCACCGCGCGGCCCAACACCCGCACCAGCCCAATACAACCCGAGCTTCCTCGAGAAACCCGCTTCCGGCTGTACTCACTCGCTGCTTCCGGCTGTGCCTTCGGCGAAGAAAGCGGCGGCCCCGAGCTCCCGGCAGTCTCCGCGCGCGGCCCGGCCCCGCCCCGTCGCCGACCCCGCCCCGTGAGAGGAGTGCAGCTGGCGGAGGAGGCGTGGCGGCGGACGCCTCCTGAGTGGCCGGAAGCGCCGAGGGGAGGCGGGGCCGCGCCGGAAGGGCGTCAGAAACAAAAATCAAACCTGCGGTATTCAAGTCCTTTCCGACTCATAGAGACCCTGGTGGCACGGTGGTTGAGCGCTCGGCTGTGAACTCAAAAGGGGGCGGTTTGAACCCACCATGACTCCGCGGGAGAAAGACCTGGTGATCTGCTTCCGTAAAGATTACAGCCTCGGAAAATTTATGGGGAGCATGTCAGGCTTCGCTTTTCCCAGAAGGGCGGTGGGGCTGAGGGGTGCTGCAGGGCTTCCAAGGGTCCTCTGAGGTGGCCAGAGCCAATGCAGAACCGTGATTAGATGTCAGGGACGCACTCCACGTTCGGGTAAAAGTACCGAAAGTCATAAATCCTCTAGTTGTGATGCAGATTCCCATGTGACAGCACAGGGATACACACTCGGGTGAAGGCAGGAGAGGCGGAGGTGTCAGGTTGGAGGGGGCAGTTTGTGAAGCGCGTTTAACCCTTTCGTGCCCAGCAGTACATACAGCGGCGATGAACTTTTTCAGCCTCGGGTTTATTTGGAAGCTGCTGCCCCACTGACAGTGCACGCTGCTGCAAAGCAGGGGCCTTTGTGACTGTTTGAAACCAAAGAAACGGGCATGTGGTGCAAATTACTGTTTTACAGGGTATCGTATGAGGTGTCTGAATTTTTGGTAGGAAAAATAGAAATTTTGAAAATTTTTATGTTACACGTATGTACCAATAGACCCTAGTGGGGCTCTGGAGTATAATTAGTAGTACTTCATATGTACCGCTAAACACTTAGGGTAGGTGTGTGGGAGGGGGCAAGAAAAAAATACATACTACTTACCAAAAATTCAGACACCCTCAATGATTCAGCATGCTTCCATAAATGAAAACACATGGTATCCACAAAAAATTCAAAGCAGAAAATATTTGGGTCACCAAAGGGTTATAAAGAGTCCTCTAGAAACCCAGTCAACTCAGGCAGGCAGGATACTAACTACCCTTTACTGAACATCTAAATTGGGTTCTACAGAGCCACTACTCATAGTCCAAAGCGCAGGTAGCTCCACTTGAAAGGTGCAGAAATACAAATTAAAATCAGTTTTAAAAGACAAATTGTATTTAAAGGAATAAACCTTGATAGTCGTCATACAGAGATGGCAATAGGAAGGATGAAGTGGATCGAAGAATAAACACACTTTGGCAATGAATGTTTGCACTTGGGGCTTCCCTCACTGTGGTTGGCAAGAAAATCCCTGTGGCTAACCCAGATGAGAAATTCCCCCAGCAGCCACGGTAGCAAAGTAATAGTTTCAGTTAACTATGGCTGTATAACAAATTGCCTCAAAAGTTAATGGCTTAAAACAATATTTCTCAACAATTATGTGGCTAAGTTAGGTGATTCCTCTGCAGATTTCACCTGGTCTTACTCATGTGGCTTCATTCAGCAAGGGTTGGCTGGGCTGGAAGGCACCCTGGTGGCACAATGGTTAAGCACTTGGCTGCTAACCAAAAGGTTGGCCTTCCAACCCACTAGCCGCTCCGCAGGAGAAAGATATGGCAGTCTGCTTCTGTAAAGATTACAGCCTTGGAAACTCCATGGGGCAGTTCTACTCTGTCCTAGAGGGTCGCTGTGAGTTGGAATCAACTTGAGGGCAGTGGGTTTGGTTTTTTTGGTTTGGCTAGGCTGGGAGGTCCAAGATGGCCTTATTCACGCTCTGGCAGTTGGTGCTGGCTGGCTGCTGGGGCACCTCAGTTCAGACCTAGTCTTGGAAGTACCACTTCTGCCACACTCTATTGGTCAAAACTAAAACGAAGCCTGCCCAGATTGAAGGGGCAGGGTGATGTACCCCATCTCTTGATGAAAGGAGCAGCAAAGAATTTGTGGCCATCCTTTTTAGTCTTCGCAGAAATCAATCTCTCCTCCAATATGAATAAAAGCCACCAAGACTTGCCTCTTGGAGAAAGAAGTGTCTAGTGTTCACAATCTGTGGATGCTGACACTGTGTGACAGGGACTCCATATAAAGCCACAAAAGAGACACGATAACACCGCATGTATTAATTATCACCCTTTTGACCCAAGTATCTCTGAGTTTTTCTTTCTTTCTTGTATCACATGGGTGGAAATGGATTCTGTTGAAAGTTAATCCCGCAGGAATTTTCCTAGCTATCATTAGAAATAGCCATACAATACTGTTGCTTTCTACCTATATTCTTATATTTAAAAACAAACAAACAAACAAACTCGTTGCCATCGAATTGATTCCAACTCAGCAACCCTACAGGACAGATAGAACTGCCCCATAGGGTTTCCAAGGAGTGGCTGGTGGATTCGAACTGCTAAACTTTTCGTTAGCGGCCAAGTTCTTAACTACTGCGCCTCCAGGGCTCCATTCTTACATTACTTCTTTCTAAATTCTATTCTCTGAATCTGAGATGGTAGCGTTACTTCCTAATTTCCTGCTGAGGTGGTTTTGGAGAATTCTGCTCTCCTCCCTGCTCAGAGACTTCTGTCTCTTGGTTATTTTTACCCCCTCCCCCTCCTACTTCAGCTTCTCCACTGGAACCTTTCCACTGATGCTCAAACATGCTGTACTCTCTTAACAACCCTACAGTGACCTCTCTCCACCTTTCATTCTGTCTACTCTCCTTCAGAGCCAAGCTCCTTCCTCAATTCCCATTTATCCTTCCAACTACTCCAACATGGCTTCTGCCCCCATTATTCCATCAAAAGTGCTTTGGCTAAGGTCACTGATGGTATGTTACTAGATCCAATGGATCTTTCAGTCTTCATCTAAACTTTCAGTTGACTACTTCCACTTTGAAAGACTCCTGTGGGCAACCCTGACATTACCCTGTCTTGGTTTTACTCCAGCCTCACTGCCAACTCTACCAGCTCCCCCTGCTCTGAGTTCCTGGGGACGTTATTCATTGTCTACATTCTCCTTAAGCAGTCTCGTTCACCCCATGGCTTCGAATACCATCTCTGTATACAACTTCAAATTTTATATTTTCAGTCCCATACATATAGCTCCCTACTTGCCCTGGAAACCTGTTATCTCCAAAAACTTTCTGCTGAGATCACGCTTTTCTCCAGAGAACCTCTATACAACTAGCTTTTTCTGATAGAAAGCCTTTCTTCTTCCTCACTTCCCGCTTCCAAGCCATCACTATGTCCTGAAAAATACACCTGGGCTTGAACCACTTCTCTCCACCTTGACCATCACCATCAACTTGGACAACTGTGTCACTGCAAAAGCTATGGCATGTCCTCAGAGAAACCTTCCTAATTCCCACAATTAAATCAAGTTTATGTGTATGTCTCCTGTTATGTCTCTCTGAACGCTCTCCTTTTTCATCATGACATATCTCAATTTGTATTTTACATGGTTACTGTCTAATATTCTGTCTTCCATGATAGACAGTAAACACTGTGAAGGCAGTGGCTATTTCAATCACTATATTCCCAGCACTAAGCACAGCACCAAACTCAGTGAACAAATGGATGACTTATGTATTTTTACCCTCCCAGAGTATCATGTTCTGTGTATGATAAAAAGTAGTGTCTTACTGGCTTACGTTCTGTCCAAATTTTTTTTTTTTTGTCTAGGCTCAGTATTCCCCACAAATGTGTTACATAAGCTTAGTATTTTTCTGATTTATAAAATGTTGCTTTCCCCAAAATAACATGTCTTTTCCTCCCTGTTTTTATGAATATTAAGGCAATTAACTCAATGGGACTTTCGAGATAATCAATAAATACTAAAGTACATGAACATATTCAATACATACATAATATAGATAGTAACAGGTCACTAACTGTCCAGATACAAAATAGCTTTAATTTCATCTAACATTACTTGTGACAATACTGCTGTTTCAAACTACTAGATATTTTAATAAGAATAGCAAACTAATATATATAAAACAAGGCTTTTTTAAACACTAAGCTGTTTTTTCTAACATTAAATATTCGTGGTATAAAATGGTAGCATCTGCAAGATAAACTATTATACTTGGAAATAACAATTTTCTAACTCTGAAATGGATTCAATGTGTGGGAAAAAGTTTTAAAAAGTAAGATTTAAAATGTGAAATGCTTCTGAAGGTATGCAATTTACCAGCCATTTGCACAGTTTATCTGCAATTATCTTTTACAGAACAGAAATACAAAAAAGCATGAAGATTAAGTACCCTAAAGCAAAATCCCAAACTGGAAATGTAAGATACAAAACGAGTGTACCAGAAATAGTATGACATACCGAAGTCAAATTGTTTGGTCACTGTAATTTTCCACCAATTGTTAAAGAAAAACATTTGATTAAAATGTTTTGGTGCCATTTACTGTTGCTAAAAAGCTGTTTTTTTTTTTAAAACAAGGATAGAATATAATAACCAGAGAAAACTGCTTCGAATTTTGGAAGGCATTTTCTCCCCAAAGTAACTATCTTGGAATATGCATCCTCAAAAAATGCTAAGATGATTCATAAATAGTAAAAATAAGCAGTAGTCTTCTGTTATTTCTTTAGGTTTTCCTAAATAAGGTTTAGTTCTCATTCAGTACCCCCATCTCCCTTAATCAAAAGCTATTTTTGGTTTCTTTGGTACTATGTACAAATAACTTCATTCTATGTCTGTCATTTCTATTCCATCACTTTCTTTAACATATACCACTGAACCCAAAGCTTTCTTTGAAAGAGACCCGGTGCCAATCTCTTCATTTCTTGTCAAGTTTTCTTGGTTCATGTCTTCTAATCTTATTTTCTTGGTGTTTTGAAATAACTGGGTTACTGGTTCCAGCCTGCTTTCCTCAGTCCCTCGTATTAAGTGATCATCCACTTTTGAATCCATACGCATAGCAGATACCTGAGTAGCAGATTTACTCAGAGAAAATCCCATTGGGACAGCTGAACAAGTGTCAAGGTACTCTGCAGTTACCTTTTTAAGTAGTGGAAAAGTTTCTTCAACTTGATTGCTGGAAAAAAAAAAATCAAAATATAAGGAAGAAGTGAATATAGCAGGAGTTTCAAATAACTCCATGGCAACGTTTGTTTGAAAGGAATACCTGGTGATAGTGTTGAAAATATAAAGGAAAATCGCCTCCCACCTCCCAGTGTTTGCATTGTCCTTGGAGGAGGTTTTCACGTTCTAGAGATTCCTTTGAAAGTCATTGTTAAAAGGAATTTAACTACCAGATCTTATGTTTTATCACCTTTCAGAAAATAATAGAACTTCTCAGCTTAGTCTTTTCTATCATTCTTGCTAGCAAAAGCTTTAAACTCATTATTAACAAACTAAAGAAAGAATTACTGAAGGCTAAGCACTCTGCTCAATGTTTTGCAAAAACCAAAGATGTCCAGTAAAGATACAGAACTTGTGGTTTTTGCTGTTGTTAGTTGCCATCAAACTGACTCCTGGTGACCTTATGTATGATAGAACAAAACACTGCCTAGTCCTCTGCCGGCTCCATGATTGTTGGTATGTTTGAGTCCACTGTTGTGACTACTGGGTCAATCCGTCTCAGTGAGGGTTTCCCTCGTTTTCCTAAGCCTGCTACTGTACCAAACACGATGTCCTTTGCTAGCGATTGGTCTTTCCAGATGACGTGTCCAAAGTAAGTCTCATCATCCTTGCTTCTAAGAAGCATTCTGGTTGTATTACTTTTAAGACTAATTTGTTCCTTCTTTTGGCAGTCCACTCTATATTCAATATTTTTCACCAACACCACCATTTAAACACATCACTTCTTCTTGTCTTCCTTTTTCACTATCTAACTTTATTCTCTGCTTCGGCCAAGATCCGTCTGGCAACAGCAATGTTATCACTCGTTCCACGTCCTTTTCTAAATCAAGCTACAACTTCTGGGAGCTCCCTGTCAATATACAGCTGCAGTCATTTTTGAATTATCTTCAGCAGAATTTTGCTAGCATGTGATATGAATGATATTGATTGATAATTTCCACATCCCATCTGGTCGCCTTTCTTTGGAATGGACACAGATATAGATCTCTTCCAGTCAGTTAGTCAGGTAGCTGTCTTCCAAATTTCTTGACATAGACAAGTAAGCTCTTCCAGTGTCGCATCCATTTGTTGAAGCATCTCAAATGGTGTACCGTCAATTCCTGGAGCCTTGTTTTTTGCTGATGCCTTCAAGTGCAATTTTGCTGATGTCAGATGGATCTTGGCTGAAAGCAGAGAATACCAGAAAGATGTTTACCTGTATTTTATTGACAATGCAAATGCATTAGACTGTGTGGATCAAAACAAATTATGGGTAACATTGCAAAGAATGGGAATTCCAGAACACTAATTGTGCTCATGCAGAACCTATGTAGACCAAGAGTTGCTTGGACAGAACAAGGGGATATTGTGTAGCTTAAAATCAGGAAAGGTGTGTGTCAAGGTTGTATCTTTCACAATACTTATTCAATCTGTATGCTGAGCAAATAATCTGAGAAACTGGACTATATGAAGAACATGGCATCAGAATTGGTGGAAGACTCATTAACAACCTGTGATATTGCAGATGACATAACCATGCTTGCTGAAAGTGAAGAGGACTTGAAGCACTTACTGATGAAGATCAAAGACTAGAGCCTTCAGTATGGATTGCACCTCAACATAAAGAAAACAAAAATCCTCACAAATGGACCAATAAGCAACATCATGGTAAGTGTAGAAAAGATTGAAGTTGTCAAGGATTTCATTTTACTCGGATCCACAATCAACACCCATGGAAGCAGCAGTCAAGAAATCAAACGACGTATTATATTGGACAAATCTGCTGCAAAAGATCTCTTTAAAGTGTTAAAAAACAAAGATGTCACTTTAGGACTAAGGTGTGCCTGACCCAAACTGGTATTTTCAATTGCTGCATAAGCATGTGAAAGCTGGATAGTGAATAAGGAAGACCAAAGAAGAACAGATACATTTGAATTATGGTGTTGGCGAAGAATATTGACTATACCACGGACTTCCAGAAGAAGAAACAAGTCTGTCTTGGAGGAAGTACAGCCAGAATGCTCCTCAGAAGTGAGGATGGAGAGACTTCGTCTCACGTACTTTGAACATATTAGGAGGGACCAGTCCCTGGAGAAGGACATCATGCTTGGTAAAGTAGAGGGTCAGTGAAAAAGAGGAAGACCCTCAATGAGATGGATTGACACAG